TGTGCTGGTGACAGGGGACTGTTCCTCATGTAAAGCCCAACAGACAGGCACATACAGGGAGAGAGAAGCAAGAAACTGGGAGAATTTGGGAGGGAAGTGGCTGAGCTCCCCTCGCCCCAAGGAACAGGGAGAGGCTGCACTCCTTTCAGCTTGGCTAGGTATTGTACTGAGAACGTACGTTTCTCCCCGGTTCCAGCTGCCTCCATAAGCACTTCTACGCTTGCTTGGTTCATGTTGAGACTAAAGGTATCAGACACTTAACCAAACAACAGACACTGTTTTCCTTGGGTGTTAGAATGGATTTTTGGTTTTCTGAACCTGTGGATTTTAATCCCATAAGCTGCTTTGGGTAAGGGAGGGAACAGGTAACAAACAGAACTTCAGTCATTTCTTTTCCTGATGCCTGGCTTTTCTTTTGGTGCTAATAACATGGTTTTGAGATAAACCCAGCACCATTATCCAACTGAAGAAAAATCAGCAGACACCCTTGTTCCTTGTAGGCTGATACACCGCAATCATCTTTACGCTGTCAGCCAGCCTACTGCTCCTGCAAGTGACAGATCCGAGCTAACATGTGCAAGGACGGAGATGCTAGTGCCGCTGTGCACACTGGTAGTGCCTGTCTGTCCAGCAAGTGGTGTCATTCACTGCATTTCCTGTATTTATTCTCTTCCCGTACACCAGCCACCAGCCTGCCTTATTCTAATTATAACAACGTATGCAGCTAGATGTGCTTTTCTTGCCCATTTTATACTTGGTGCATTGCATGCCTTTCCGCCCAAAATCTCCCTTCTTGTGGCATTTATTCTCAATTACATCCACATGTTAAACATTGTTAGCTGAACAAAAACTGTAGCAACTGTTGGGTGACCCAGAAACCAAAAAATACAGCAAGGCAACTAGAATTTGCCAAGCAATGGTATTCACCTGGTTTACGGTCAAGTTTTGCAGAAGGTAAACAATCAATGCAGTCTTTCAGTCCTTTCTAAAACTGCAGGACAACTCTCTAGCCTTGTGTGACTGACAGATTAGATTCCTTTTACAGTTTCACTTCTTGTGTAGTCTATTAAGTAGAACTTCCTTGGGTATTATGAGTGTACTACGTCTAAAACATTTGCAATAAAATTTCAGAGCTGTTCAATTTTGATGAAGGAAGCTTTCGGAAACTTGAAAGGTGTCAGAATCTATTGCCAGACATGAGACCGCTTTTCGCCTTGCCTAGTTTTGAGTAATATGCATTGCTTGTAGGTGCCATTAACATCTTTTTCACAACATTCCAGTTCTTTGGTGGCATTTTTCTGATTCACTCACCCATTTCAGGATTGCTTCTATCAACTTTTAGTAAGAGCTGATGATCATCGCATATTTCAAAAAACCAGAACCACAGCAACGCTCATTCAGTGACCCATTCCCACTTCTTCCACGTATCACCCTTCTTAGACTTCTACGCAGTATATTACTCCATTGACCCTGTTTTCAAGGCCAAGCCTTCAAAATATGAACATTCAATACAACGGTTTTCTTTGTTAAAAAATATACTTTGGACAGCAGCTAGATTTTAGTGTGCTGAAACCACCAACTCCCAGAGCAAACATTACTGTTATTTTATTCCCCCGGTACCGCTGCATATTTGTATAAATATTTGTTGGTTGCCTTTTCTGAGAGTGTAGGAACTTTGGAGCAAGAACAGCATCATGGCAGTTTGTGTCATGAAAAGCATGACGAGGTGCTACAATACTACTACTATGTCCTAGTAATTGCAGTCATGGGATTTTCCTATGCATAGAATTGTTTTCCTAAGTGTGCACTCTCATTATAAAAATGAAATTTAGAAAAAGCAAATCAAGGCTGGAGAAAACAAACAAACAACAGACTAAATGTTGAAGAGTTTCACTATCCAGAACTAGGATTGAAAAACCAATATGAGTCACACAATTTAAAAGCAGTCATAGCAATAATCTCAAAATCAGAAACATTGTTTTCACATTAAAATTTTAAATGATCTTTCCAATATTACTTTAAAAAAAATCACATTCTAAATCAGCATTAATTTAAAAAGCTGTCAAAAATTTTTTTGAAGTGTAATATGTATTTTTCTAGATTATTCCAAAATTATACCTTCCAATTAGTGATTTCTGTTTTGATTAACCGGGTTTTTTCCAACAAAAATGTTTTGATAAAAAATTCCTAAACCAGCTCAAGTAAAAAGTGATTTTTCAAAACATGCTTTTGTCTTCCTGACAGCATCCTCCATGTGGACGTAGGAACTCTTAAAATTAACAGAAAGTGTATGCGGAGGATGTGGGAAGTTTAGAAAGAGTGCTCCAAATGCCAGATCCATCATCTGTATTATTGCTATGTCAGATCCGGTGTGTTTGAAGAGCCAGCGATGAGGGTATGAATTTGATGGCATTTCTGTACAACGAACACATCTCATGATGTACGATTCCGAGGTGATGTTGAAAATGTGATGAGCTGTCCATTTAAGACAGAAGGAATGTCCTGAGTAAGGAGTGAAATGCGATCCAGGACTGTGACGAGCCCATGCAGGGGAGGGAGGGAAGCAAGCATCGATTTACTACATTTTAATGAATAGCAGCATGAAGTTAAAAATAAAAACAGCAAGCAGAAGAGTGAGGCTTTAATGAAGAGACAGAGAATGTGTCAGCTTGGGAAGCTCCAAGGCCAGGCTAGCTCTAGGTGACAGGGCTGCCTTTCTTGGCTTCTCTACAAATAAAGGTCCACTCTGGCCAGGCAGAATGGCTGAGTTGGAGCCTGGGCTTCTGTGACAAAGATATCTGTCCACGAAATCCTAAAAAGCTAGGAAAAGAGACTGATGTCAGATATAAATGCAAAGCATTTTGCTTTTGCAATTTTCTTTCGAAGTTTTACAATCAGAGAATTCCTGCACGATTTGAATGCTATCCCCAAAAGTGTGGCACATGAGCATAACTGCCTGCAAAGCCATAATAAATTTGGATATTTAGCATCTGTTTCCCAGCAGAGTGCACAGCTCAGCTTGGGGATTGGCAGCGGCATATCAGGACAGAGAGGGAAAGCCTCAGTTCATGTTCTAATATCCCTCCGGCAGCAGACAGAAAGCGGAAACATACTATGTATTTTTGGGCAACCACGTATTGTGACTATCTCCTTGGCTCTCTTTTTTTTGATCAACACCTTAAGATCTTGTGAAAGTGTAAGTGTGAGAAAAATCTCATATTGCCATCATCTCTAGGGTCAGTCAACAGCTTTCAGTGTTAGCTGCCCAGACAAATGCCTAAGAAGAGCTGAGGGAGGCGGTGGCCGTTGAGGAAATTGTAACATCTCAGTGAAACAGATAAACACACCTCAGAGGTAATACTTTATGTGTCACTACCGTTCCTGGGCAGGTCTTTCCAACTCGACGTGATGCCCTGTAACTGCGCCCTCACAGTACCACTGTTACCAGTGTGAAAGGTTAGTGGGAATGACTTAATAATCATTTGCGGTTACTGATATACCCGAGCAGGTCCTCTGTGTCCCCAGGCTTTTCTGAACGCCATGAGCCAAAACAACAGGACACCGAAGACAGCGCTTAGCAATCACTTCACTAGGAATACCACCACACTCCAAACCATGTCTTAATTCTCACAAAACCATCACGTGCACAAACACACTCCTCTTCCTCACCTACTCCAAAAACTCCTATACTGGCATCTCTTGCATTTTCCCCTCCAGCTTTGTTTACATCCTCTGAGATTTGCATTCCTTCTTTAGCCCATGCAAAGGAAGAGATCTTCCTGGCATCCCTGCGTGCATTACCATGGTTACCTAGTTCATCTGCAGCAAGGTGGGTTGGTCCATGGCCTGACACCGCAGCTCCAGGTGCATACTCCTCCCCTGTCCACTGCTTTTCAACCTCTCTCGCTGCAGCTGCTTTTTCAGAAAATCTGAATGCAAGCAACAGTGGAGCACCCAACACAAACTCTCCCAAAGTCTTCAACACATTTTTTTCCCTATACAGTTTGTCTTTAAGTGTGTTTTTTGGAAGGCCAAGTCCTTCGTTTGCAAGCAATTTTTCCAGCAAGCCTTCATCAACAGCACACCTGCAGATTTCACCTGCTGCATTTCATTTGAGGACGCAGTATTACACTTGGAAATCTAGCCTCAAAAGCATGCTTAGGAGAACACCTGTAACTACACAACCACCCGGGTCTGTCAGGGAAGAACAAAGTTTTGAGACACGAGAATAAGGATCATGAACTCTTAAATGAGGGTCTCGGGGGGTGGGAAACAAACTGCTTGCTCCCACAAAAGCACGTTACATTTCCTTGGTATCACAAATTTTACAGTACAAGTTGAATAAACTGTCGTCTACTGAGATATTAGCAAGCCAGGCATCAAATCTAAATAAGCTCTCAGTATCAAATGAGGTATAAACAACAAAATATTGATAAAATATAATGAAGAGAGAATTCAGTCCAGGCAGAAGGCATACGTATCTCCACAACTGGCTTAAATTTTCAGCGAAACAAAACTTATTAACTTTGGTTTTTTAAGCAACATCACTCTCACAGGTTTTTTTCCAGGCAATGTTTATACCAAAATAGAAATGCAGACTATTACAAAGAATGCCTGCTCACATAGTTCATTTGGTCCCGTAATTTATGTTTCTCATATTCATACCAAATTTGACCTATTTAAATAAATTTAAAGCAATGACATAATCTCTGGAAATGGTACACTGAATATGTGTACCACACAACGTCAAGGCAAACACAGATGTATCTTATGGTGACTCTGAAAACACAAATACAATGAATCTCTGCAAGGAAAGCAAAAGCTGGCAAAATTCGAAATGGCTTTGTAGTCATATTGTTATGTAAAATGAAGTTGTGTGAAGTTCTCCAGACTTGATTTAACATGGCTGAAACAGAGTGGGTAATTTGTTTGCATCTGAACGGCAAAAAAGATCAGTCAAATGGAAAATCAACACAAAAATGACCGACTCGTACACGTACCTTTTCCATTTATAGTTAACGCTGATGCAATTGTGGCTGTTACTGGCACTGGCAATTGTGGCACTAATGGATGTATCCTTGGTCGGCTCCCCATCCTAGCACGCTCTGCACCAGGTCCTAATAAAGCTCCCACTGGTTTTTCTGCTGCTACTTCTGGTGCTACAGAGTCTTCTTGATCCTGCTCTATATGGTCCATTTTATCCGGGCTTTCATTCTGGAAGCCATCAACTGTTGTCTGGTTCTTAATTGGACTTTTGGGCACTAGGATTTTAATGCCTGATTTTGCAAGGTCCATGTTTTTCCTTCCAGAAAGAGATGGTGAGTTGTTTTTTCGGAACTTCTGGGTGGCAGAAAAGAGTTGATTATTTTTTGACTCATGGTCTTTACCCATAACTAAAGATTTAGTGGATGTCTTTGAAAAAGAACTATTGGTAGATCTAGAAATTTGTTTTCTGGCATTATTTGGAGAGGTCCTGTTTGTCCTGGTCAATGTGCTTTCTTTCTGCTTTTCATTGTGGCGTCTGTTAAATTCATGTATATATTCCTCACAATTAACAAGGTGCTGTTCTGGCTCCCAAGTATCATCTTCACTGTCATATCCTTTCCATCGCACCAAATACTCTGTTTTTCCCTTCTTGTTTTTCCTCTTGTCAACAATTCTCTCTACCTGTTAAAAGGAAAATTAAACATTAGACATGGGCAGATATACAACTCAGGTGAGCGACTTGCATGCAAATAATTTCAGGGTAGATAGATTTTAAAACACTCTTGTAGTTCTTCTGTGTTGTAGCTCTATACCTTACAGTCTTTCACTGCTGACTGGAAATCCCTCTCTTTAAACTTCAGATTGTTAATTCCATCTCGTAAAAGATGTCCTAAAATACAGGAATTGTTCTTCAGTAAGTTTTTTGCATGCACAAGAATCTAAGTATGACACATTACAGTCGACAATCAGCACTGGGCCCAGCGAAGTCTGGACACCAGCTTCAACGTGGATAGGATTTCTATCTCTGATTAGATAGGTCCTGTTTAAATATGTGATACAGAGTGTTTACCTTACAAAACTTCCCAATTTGATACTGTTTGAATAATTTGCTTACTTAGCATAAAGCATACGGGGGAGCCACGTACTTTCAGTGAGCCATCCTCTAGTTACCAGGGAGAATACGGGACAGCTCAGAAACTGGGGCAAATACAGAAGACTTTTTTTTAGAGGCTGCTGTTCTTGTGAAAACAGAGAACTTGTTTTGGCCAGAGTCTTTGATACACATACTTGAACAAATTACCATGCCTCACTTCTCTGCAAATAAAGATGGTATTTATGTCACAAGCATTAAGCATGCACATGCTCCAACTGCGCGCGGGACCCGGAGGCTAGAGGAATTCTGGCACCAGGAAAAAGCAGACAGGGCAGACAGCAGCAGCTGCAGGGACAGCGGCTCATGCCTCACACCAAACCTCCTGCCAGTCATCCTAGTCCTGCAGAAAGGGAATTCTTTTACAGAAAGAGAGATGCAAGTGCAAGGCTAGTCTCGGGATTTCCCCTTTTTATTTAATTTTTCCTACTCAGTCTGATCCTTCTGGTAAATCCTCCAGCCCACTACATTCCAGTTATGGGACCAATACAGCTTGCTTCCCCATCTCTAGCTTCCTTTTGGTTATTAAAAAACCAAAAAAGGCAGGAGGGGGGAAGGATGGCACTATTATTTATTAATTTAACTTCTGGCCCCTCAGGAGCAAAGACCACGCACGCAAGCTAAGATCACACATACGTAGGAGCACCTCTGAAGACCAGTAACCTTTACTGGAGTGGCATTAACCGAATGGAACATCTACAGAACAGTTTGGAAGGAAAATATGGATATGTATGGTATCCATATATATGGTATACATCTACGGTATACGATTCATTACTGCATCCTATGACTTGACAACAGATTCTCTTAAGAGTGCACCACAGTTTGTTATGTGGCATGTTATCAGATTCTCACTGGAAGATCTCCACTACTAGCAAGGTATTTTTATTTTATAGCAGGAAATCTTTGTAACAAACAGCATTGATTACTGGGCACAAAGTTCTACTAATGTCTTTTAATACTAAAAGGCCACCCTTTAAAGAAATGCCCTTTTCAAGTAGGAAACCATCCCTCATCCAAAAAAACAGGTACCTTGCAGAGGTATCAGATGAACTCTAGAACAGCAGACGCAAAAATCCACTCCCAACCTGATGAATTATAGAGCAAACAGAAATGCATAAAGAAAACTGTTATATTTAGCTGTACTGCCCACCTGCAACAAAGCCGACTTTAACATTGCTCTTTTTGATTAAAAGAAGACTTTTTTCCTGACCCTTTAATTCTTCTTGAAGACATTTCTATTTTATTTACAACACAAAAATGATAGCAATTAACCTGTGATCCACAATTTATCATGTGGCTTCAGAGCTTTAGTGAGGGACTTTGGGGACTGCCTCCGCTTGATTAGTCCAACTCCCCTAGGACCACTTGAAAAACCGCTCAGGAATATTCTGCTTCAATGCTTTTGCTGGTGATAATAGCTATGTACGTGTTTCTCATCCAGATTTGGGAAGAGGAAACTGAAATGCTTCCACAATGTACAGAGGGTTTAGGTATAGAACGGGAATATTATTCATCCTGAACTAGCAGCATATTTAAACTCGATTTCATGGCAAAACAGAGACCTCAAACTTGTACTTCTCCTCTTTTCCTACTGAAAAAGAAAGCTTGCCCAGGTCATCCGTTTCTACTTTGATAGACAGCAATGACATGAAATATAATGCAAGACATCTCAAATTCTTATGTTAGAAGATACTAACAACTTACATCCAAGTATTAAAATGAAAAAAGAACGTGACGGGGTGGGGGAAAAAAGTCTACGTTCCTGCTTCCCAACGCATCAGCTACAGTGCCACATGATGATACAGCCAACCTGTCGGAACAGCCAGGTCACATCCACACGGGCAGGATTGCTTCCCTCCCGTTATCGTTACCCTGGAGTTGAGCAGGCGCTTTTCTGACCTTATGCCAAGTTAGTTCAGAGAGTTCAAAACTGGCAGAGTGCCCCTAGACACCAGGGTAAGGGTAAGACCACGTCTTTAGCCACGACCATGCCAGAAATGCTGGTGACAACTAGTTCATGCCGACTACCACTTCTACAGCGTCCAATGCCTTCTGCCACAGGGTAATACTCAATTTCAGTAATTAAAAGGTTCTGTAGTGCCAGGATTTGCTGCTAATGTTTAGTTTTGAAGTGTTGTGGAACAATTAAAAGAAAAAAGAAAATGATATAAAAAGGAAAGATAAAACAAATGTGAGGGAAAGTTATCAGGCAAACCATCTGGGTGGCAAAAGGTAACATCTCCCAGTTTGTTTAGGATGCTAAGTTATCATTGTCCCTACACAAGGTACTGATCAATGACATTCAAAAAAATTCTGCCAGCAGAAAAACTGACAGAAAAACAACGCACACTCAGAGGTATGATCCAACAGTGGAGTGCCCAAATTATAATCCCCCACACCATATTTATACCTGAGACTTTCCATCTGTAAAATGGTAGATTTCCCTTCCTTCCATGAATGTGTTATTGTTTTCTTTCTCTCCCTGCAGAGCAGATGCTTTGATTTCAATTGCTTTTATTAGCAAAGCATCCTGCACTTACACGTGTTCAAAAAAAGGACAAGAACAAGCTAAGGTTGCAGCCCAAGGTGCTGCTTGGCAGGTGGAAACGGCAACGCTGCAACTGCTCCTGCCCGCCCTGTGCTCCAGACAGCAGCTCCTCCCCATCTGTCAGCACAGCTGCTTCTGTAATCGTTCCCTAACGTAGTTCTGTCAAAGTGACCTGGTTCAGATATTAAGAATACCTGATCTAATGTAGGCATCCCGAAATGACTGCTTTGGAGAGCAGCCACGTGTGCAGTATTTTCTGACACATCTAAGAGGACTGCAACTTTCAGCAGGGGACAACAAACACCTACGGGCAGGACAGGTACAGTAACCTCTTCGTTCTGCTGTGGTCGCAAAAAGGACACGCAATCTTAATCTGCAATGGAAGATCTTTAGTTCAGGTCAATAAAAGTAACTCGAAATTCAAAAGGATGTTCTCAGTCTAAAGCATTGTAATTTGGGCACATTTGTAAACTCTGTATAAGGCATACTCTGTCTGTGTACGTGTATACATATACACATTATATATATATATAAAGATCATAATTTAATTTAACAGAAGATTAGAAGAGCTTAAACTGAAGGTACAGCTACAAATAAACCCATAAGGAGGCATATAAATATTCAATGAGCGCTGCCTTGTTTATCATAAATCCATTTTCCATTCCCATCATGTTCCTCTCTGTCCTCACATTCATGTCAGGCTAAATTAATTTAAAGTTAACAGAACACAATATTTGACTTCATACTCTGCTGTCTGTAAAATACAGGAGAAGGCCCTGTCCTGTTAGCTGAAGGCTGTGTTTACGTTAGGCTTTCGGTTCAGAGCAATAGCACAATTTAGGAGCAGACCCTTCTCCTCGTCACACTGTCGCCTCTTACTGTGCAATGGTTTTGTTCACAGACCAGTCTCTGCAGACGTGATGTGGACTCTATGGAGAAATACAAACGGGAAATGAAATGCGCCAACGCAATGGTGTTCTCTGTCACGCTTCAGCCCCTAAGGGGGGGCACGCAGGTCCAAGCAAGTAACAGCTCTGAACAGTTTCAACGCACGTTGTGGCGTGGATATTTGATCCTTAGAGGGTCCACTAAATCTAGTCCAAAATAAAAGTGCTGCACAGCAGAATATGTAGAGGTGGGAGTCATGGCACCAGCTGCTTCACTTTACTGATTTTCTCCAGCTGAGCCAAATTGCTACTGTAGACATTCCCCAATTCAGACTGAAGCTGGAATAAATGCAGGTCTTGCACACGTACGTACTGCGTGTGACCAGTTACCCTTGGTTAAACTGGAAACTGTTCCATGTACAAATGGGACCTAAATGATCATCCATAAGTAATCAGCAATGTTTATGAATGATTATATCCTCTATGTATTAAAATCCTGCAGAAGTCAATGATAAATAGTACTCAAATACTTCTTAGTGCAAATAAAATAAATGCATTCTACTCTACATTGAAAAATGCAAGTAATATACAGCAGCATACAACACATGAAAACAGTTAAGTGCCAAGTTTTGCTTTAAGTAAAAGGAGAAAATAGTTTTGGGAAGACAAGTTATTCAAAGACAAATTTGATGAGGATGTCAAAATACACCTGAAGGTCTGCAAAATGTGCACTAAAATCTTCAGCATACACATTTTATTAGAAAATATATAATTTCCAATAGTACGTCTTTACGCCAGTTCAAAGCATTGCTCACTGCAGTTAGCACCAGCAGGTAAATTCTGAAAACAGCTTAACCCACACATGTTCAGAATGCCAAAACCACTGTATCGTATGGTTTAAGTTCCAATAACGTCATTAAAAAATTTACACTAGGGTACCGTATAAATGCTAGAGCTCATCTTCACTGCAGCTCCATGTTACTCCATTCATGTTAGCCTGGGAGCAAATGTAAGCCTGCCACCACATGCTCCTGGAGCTGACTGATCTGATTAGCAGGACAGAGTGATTGGATTAACGGTGGATGAACTGTTGTAAACTGAGCCACTGCATCCTTATGGTGCGACTGGCCAGAGTGTCTATACGGCACAGGACTCTGGCTATGGTGACGACTGTATTACATACGTACTGCTCTGGAAGCCAGAGCTGCACAAAATAAGAACAGGTCAGGTGTGGGCAGATTATTGCCTTTCTGTCCAATTAGCTACAGCAGATGACACAGCTTTTCTGTTACGTTTGTGAC